GTCATATATCTGGAACCTTTCTTCTTCATCTCCATCCCTAGCTCTAGGTTGTTTGCAGACAATCTGTCTGAAGGCAGAAAGGCAGGAAAGGTTGAAGACAGCATTCATCCCAGATATGAACACAGATCAGTCTTTGTGACCCCAAACCTGCTGCTCACCAACACAACCCAACTCAAGTGATAATCCTATAAGTGTGACACCAAGCACAACCTTTTCTTCAGTGCACTCCCCCATCTTAATCACTGAACAAGTTCTATTACTTACATAGAATAAATACTCAAGTTCCATACAAGGCCATCACACATCCAAACACCTCAAATCCTCTCTTATGGTAGAGACACCCATTCTTACAATGCTTTCCAGTTCTTCCTCCCCTTTGCACTGAAAGTTGTTCCCAAATAGACTACCTGACTTCACGACAGAATTGAGGCTCTGGTGTATGACAAAAACTTTTGTCAAACTGAATCATTATACCCTAGAAGTTATTAGGGCTCAAAGATACATGCTGTGAAGACTGTTCATGCAGTTGACTACACAAGGAGGAGGCAGAAGAATGGAACAGACTGTGTCAGAACTACCATATGCAGTTGAAAAAAAAATAATGAAGATAGTCTGGGGATGTAGCTTAGTGGTAAATCACTTGCTAAGAATGTGAGACCCTACGTTCATTCATGAGCACTGCAAAACAAAATCCAAAACAAAACTTCCATCTAGGATCAACAGAGTGGCTCAGCACTCATTAGTAAGCAAGTATTTATTAAATAGCCATGAGCAAGGCACTGTGGCTGCACACTGAAAATATAGTGAGTGGAGAATTTGGAGTTGAAAAAGGCCAAGACACCTTGGCTAGTCCCAGGATGTCTATATTCCATACAGGAAGAAACCTAAGCCTGCTTGGAATGCTACCTTAAAAAGGCTGTTTGGAAGATAATGGAAGTAGCAAAGCAAAATACTGAAGACTCCCCTATCATCTCAGGTTGACCTAGCCTACAGAGCAATGCTGGGTGGGGGGTACTATAAGTAACAGTGCAGGGAATATTCCATTCATTGGTAAGCATTTAAGGCAGAAGCCAGATGTGGTAAAGTCCCACACAATTTTATAGGACGTGTCCTCTTTTGGCATCACAGACTGATCATCTATTTGCCTATTGGTTTTCTATACTAGGTGCTCATTAAAAGCCCTGCCAAGGTCCTTCAAAGTAGATTCTCAGGTCACCTCACTCTCTTGCTGAATAATGTTGAACACAGAAGAGGCATAAGGGGAAAGGCAGACAAATCCAGCAGGCAACAAAGTAATGAGCTTTGACTGAGAGGTAGAGAAGAGGGAGAACTGTTTAACACTCTCACCTTTAGAGTTCCCATCAAGGGAACATATGACCTCCAGTTAAGTAGCCCTTAGTACTGTGGATGGATAGTTATGTGTGTTGTCCAAGGAAGCATAGGTTCATTAACAGGAAGCATGAGAATTTTAGAACCAAACAGAGCAGAACCGCTGAGTTTGCCAGTGTTGTGTCACTTTTGGCACTCTGCAACCTCTGAGAACCTATTTCTTCATCTATGCAAGCATTAAAATCCTGTGATGTACTCAGCATAAGTAGTAGATAAATGGTTGTTATTAGTCACTCTATCTGCTATTGCAGGATTATAGGACTTAAGATATTACAAACAGGACAAGAGTGGCCCTGGCCACATACCCTGGAGTCTCTGAGAAAAATGCACTTTTAATACTCATCTTGCTTGAAGGACTTCTTCCCTAACAGGGGTAGACTATCTAGAAAGTAACCTCACAAAATGCCACATCCAAAACCAGGGGGGCCTCACAGGCATAGGTTTCAGAATCAAGACTCCACCTGGGGTCTTCCAGCAAGGCTGTGAGGTCAAAGGAATTCATACGGCAGCAGCACTCTAGCCCCTGGATAATGCTCTTCATGTATCAGCCTTTTGCTGAGAACGCAAAGAAAGGTTGAAGTAATGCAAAAAAAAAAAAAAAAAAAAAAAAAAAAAGGAAAAAAAAATGAATTATCCTTAGCGAAGAAAATGGAAGCCCGGATCACAGCAATTACTGTGCTCTATTTGGTATTCTCTCTCATCTGTTTCCATTGATAGTCATGGGGATCCTTAACAGTAACAATTTTAACCTATTCATTGATGCACCTTTAGTGCCTAATACACGCTTGGCACACAGCTGGTGCTTAATGCCCACTGAATTTAGCCAACATATTTAGTCAAGAGTCTCACTCTCTAACCCTGCCTTCCACACTGCTGAATACTTAAAGAGTAGTAGAAGATGGTCAGATATGAAGCAATGGCTGCTTGGGTTAATATATCAACAAGCAGAGTCCAAAAAATAAGCCTGCACTCTGGGCCCCATAGAGAGACAATAGGGAAGCAAGCTGTGTGCATGGATAACTCCTAGATTTCCCCAAGCTACTGAAATACCTCCTCTCTGCCTGAAGAAACTGACCTAGTTGGTTTTCAGAAGGAAAGGCAGAGTAGGCACTGAAACGTGGGCTGTGTGTTCCCGCATTGCTGGCGAGGTTGCACGATCTGGCACTGCAGCTGGCTGGTGGGAGAGCTGCGTCCTACTCTAAGAGGCAGTACTCTCCTGTGGGCTTTCCAAGAAGGCCCAGAACACAGGGAAGAGACCGCTGCCACTACAGCTTTGAAAAACCAAAGATGGCATGGCAAAGACAACATGACAATTAGAAACGGGTGTATCTTCAACGTTCAGAAAAGAAGAAATACCTTTGGTTGCCCTCAGGCAAATCACTCTGCTCAGGCAACTTTCTGGTCCTTATGAATCTGGAGGCTCAGAGTCACAAAATCAGATACTTTCCCATCCACAAAAATCATGTAATATTTATCACTAAAGTGCCTGAGATGGAAAGTGGAGAAGAAAAAATATTCCCACTATAGAGATAAACATTCCCAGCTACAGACATAGGCTTTTGAAGTGGTGAGGAAGCTGGATCTAAGATTTTTTTTTTTTTTTAATGTACAGGACGAGGTCTGGCTATGTTGGCCCCAAATTCCTAGGCTCAAATGATTTTCCTGCTTCAAACTCCTAAAGAGGTGAGATTGTTGACTTGTGTCACCTTGTCCAGCAAAACTATTTTTATAGCCTACTTCCACAGTAACTTTCAGGCCATGTATGCTTAGCCCCATGTTGGACACACCTGTATTTCCATGGCCCAAAGATGTATTTCAAAAGGACCCTTGTAATTTAAGGAAAATGAAAGCCAAATAAGAGCTACCTCCTCAAACTAGATTCCAGTAAAAATAGTTGGTCAAACAGTGATGGCCTATAGACAGATACCAATCTCCTGTGTGAGTTCTTCTGTCTGGTCAGATACAGTAGGAGTGAGGTTAGGATTAAGGCTGGCTTTGAAGAACATACAGAAGAAAATAACTATACCTCTAAGCCAAGGTCCAGGCATAGGATACTGAACTGTGACACCATACTTCCTTGCCTAGGAATACAGGTTAGTTATCAATCTTTCCAGAAAAGCCTGAGTCAGCTGAAACTAGTACTTTCAGAGACTCCACCATAACCCAGAGGTAATTATTTAGGGCAAAGCTTTTTCCTACTCATATCCAAATTTTCCAAAAACCCACTTCCCCTCCTCCAAATGGGTTTAACCAAACAACTGGGCATTAAAATGTCTAGCAGATGCACCAGTCCCAGGCTCTGCAAAGAATTCTAAAAAAAGAGCTGCGCCAAACAGGGTGGAGACCAAAGAATCGACAGAACAGTGCCTTGCTGCTATGACTGCTGGTTCCTAGACTAGGAAGGTGGGGAAAGATAACAGGTTCAAATGGACTCCACCATTAACACCAACAGCAAATGACTTCACTTATCTCACCCATTTTCCTAGACAACCTATATCTAACACTCTTTTTATATAAAGTAAAATCTTTAGATGTGAAGTATACATGTAGTATTTAAGTTTATATTTCTTTCTGAATACTTTGAGACTTGTACCCGGTCAACTCTTCTCCTGATACTACAAGAGGGAAATAAACAGGTAATGAATAGAAGCAGTTCAAGGGATTGCCAAGAAGTCCCTTCAACGTGTCCCCATCAAATCCTGCCAAAATGACAAGGAATCCTAAAGGGGAGTGGCTTTTTTCATCCATTTTGCTACCCTCAACAAAGAGATAGAGACAGAAAGAAAAGAAAAGAAGGTGGGGGGGGGACAGGAAAGAAAGGCGGGCAAGCCTGTGCAGCTGGGAGTTACCCTAAGTCTGCTTACCCTTCTGACCCCTTTCAAAATCAATGCTTTTAACATCATGTGAAGGCAATTTCAATATCCTAGCACTAGATACCTAGTCTCACCTAAGATTATAGTTCTTTCCCCTCACAATGTTTCAGTGATTACCTGTCCCCTCTAGTTTTAAAAGCCACTGAGAGAATCTGGCCATCTAGTAGTAATCAGTCCCTTAAATCCCCTCCCCCACTTAAAAGTGTTTTGCTTCATCATCTTCAAGACAGGCCTGGCCACCAGGGGGTTAGCTGGATCTTCTCTGCATAAGGCTGTCACCTTGGGGACCCTTCTCAGGGCCACCCAGATATAGATTAACAACTCCAGGGAATTTATCAGGGTAAGTGGAAAAGCCCTGCCTGGCTTTACGAACAGCCATCTGTCCTGCAGCACTCACAGCTAGTATTTCCATCTCTGGCAAAACAGCTCCATGTTGTGTATGTGTACAGGGAGTGAGCAAAGGGGAGCAGAACAACTGTTGCTGTGGATATCCTCCATTAACATTACCCCCTGAGCCCCCTCCCCCAGCTGACTCATCCTCTCACACTTACCTGAATGTGTGCTGCTCTGGGCTGAGGAGTCTGAGTCCTGGGTGCTCCAGGGTCGGTCCCAGCCCGTCAGGCTGAGGGACTGCAGGCCAAGGCACAAGTCATTTGCATCTGGGAGGCCACGGGAAGATTCTTGCGCAGAGGTGGGAAAAAGCATCTTGCTTGTAACTGTTTCTTCAGAGTCTTGGAAGTCTGCTTTGGATAGGAGGATAGCAGAAACCCTAGAGTTAAGGGTTGTTTTTCCCGATATCATCAACAATAAATACTATTAATAATAGTTTCCCCAGACTCAAGAGCCAGACATCCAAGCTGACTGAAAGCTGCAGCTGCTGTCTCTGCACTTTTGGGGGCGTTTGAGCAAGAGCAGTTGCCATACAGCCCCCTCCCCACAACACACCCCTATCCCGTCTGCATTACAGACTGGGCCAGCATGTGATCAGGCTGCTGATGCTTCCCGCTGCCAGTGACATCAGCCGGCTGAGCCGTGCAATAGAGAGCGGCATCATCCCTCGCAGAGCGGGGGAGGAGCAGGAGGGACGACAGGGAGGAGACTTGCCTCCCAGGGAAAAAAAAAATAGCACGAGAGCTACTTGGAATAGTCCGAGTGCAATGCTGGTAAGTCAGGGTTCCAAGGCAGCGCCCTCCGGTCTCCAGCAATGGTGGCCAAGTGGCCCTCAGATCCGACTAAAGTCCTCTCTGCTGACAGCAAAGCCAAAGCAGCCGACTGCCTGCTTGTGTAGCTCTGCCCTCCTGTCCCTCCCCTCTCTCTCCCTCAGCTCTCCACCCCCAAACCCAAAAACACTCTAGTCCTGGACTCTCTCCAGCTGCTGGCTCAAGCCCTGGCTTTGCAGCCCAATGCAAAGCTTCACAATCCTGCTAGCAAAAATCTGTGTTCCAAGTGGCCCCAGAGCAGCACCCTGACACAGCAGTGTTTACCACTGAGGAATGGGATAACCTTCAGAAAACACTGCACACTTGGACACTGGGGAATAACACCTGGTGCTCTAGGTTTCCCTAGAGTAGCTTATCAGAGAAAAGAGGTCAGCTTTGGCAGCGGGAAGGGAAGTCAACTGGGCCACTATAGGTACATCTTACAGCACATGACCCACACCCACATGCCAGAGTGAGATCTGCTCTCAGATAATCCATCCCTAGGCTCCCTCACACCAACAGGTAGGCATTAGTCCTGAGCAGACATATGGGCCCAGCTCCTCCCCAATCTCCTACAATTGAAGGTGCAGACTGAACAAACATTCCTGGAGCAGTGTCTAGTGGACTAAAACAAGAGAAACCATCTCAGTATTATTATGCCCTATCAGATACATCATGATCAAGAGTTCACATCACCAGGCTCTGTCATAACACCTCCTCTTGTCTTTGTCTTTTCCAGAGCCTTTGAATACTGGCCAAAATGTAAGGGCCACCAGGTCCTTTAATTTTCTTGGATGCTGCCTAGGACCAAGAACCCATTTTATGACCACTCACAACTCTAGCAATAAAAATCTAAAGAAGGTCCAACTTCAGAAGCTTCTGCATTTCCTCTTCATCAATGTCCTCTTCTGTATCAGTCATTTTCCAATGTGACCGCTTGTCACCTGGCTTCTTCATAAAGGAGGTTACAGCAGCAGTTTCAGCCCCAGCCGCAAGGCTGCTCACATCTACACCAGGCACACATCACTTTGAAGGTTTTCTGTTGCAAGAAGCAGCAGCAGAGATGAGAAGCATGCCCACTTGGGACCTCCTCTGGCAGGGACTAAGCAAGTAAGTGGGGACAGCTGACCGCAGCTTCATGCAGTATTATCCCATCCTGAGTCTACTCAGGCTTAGAGCCTGGAGGGGAAAATGGTCAGTCTATGGAGGGGCTCCTCCCTGGGAGGCTGCTTTTTCTTTTTCTTTTTTTTTTTTTTTTTTTTTAAAGCTTTGCTGCTGTGTCATCCATCCATGTTATTCCTGTCTGGCCGTAGATATTCTGCTTGCTCCCTATCTGTTTGTTAAAGCTGTGTTCAGCACTGCACAGGCTGAGTAGGAACTCAACCACAGTGGCACTACCCCCACCCTAGACCACTTTCTGCTATTTCTCTATGTCCATCCTTACCCCAAGCTAAGGAAATACTTTAATGTACTGACTGCAAAAGCAAAATGCTTTTATTAACATCCAGGCTTGAAGTATTTATCCCATGCAAACCAGGAATATATATAATGCCCTCTACCATAACCTGCTTTAAAGTGTAGAAGCAGCCAATCTCCTATATCCTCTAAAATCAAAGCATCTGTATATAAATGGTCATCCTCAACCTTTGTCAGACAAAGAATCTAATCATCAGTGTGATTCGACTGTATGGCAGACCATCAGTATCAGCATTACCAGAAACCTGCTATAAATACTAAAGCTCAGGCCTCACTTGCAACCTATGGACCAAAGATCCCCTGTTACGTTTCTTTTCGGTACCAGAGACTGAACTCATGATCTCATGCTTGCTAGGCAGGCACTTAATACCACTGAAAATCCCCAGCCCAAGATCCCCAGTTAAAGTGAATGTACATAAAAAGTCTGAGTAGTACTGCCTAGTACAACTACTATAGCCTTCCAATTGAAAGCTGAAAGGCCCCTGGCTTGAACAACAGGTCTGTTAAATCCCTCAAGGTCCAGATGGCTACAAATGCCCCAAAGCCTGAACACTTACAAGTGAGTACAACTCTACCCTTACCCTAGAATCCCCACAACAGACCTCATCTTTATGTTTAGTCAGACATTCCTCTATCTATAAAGGTTTTCACTTCCATTGCAGGATTCCTCTAGATTGCTTCCCACTACACCATCAACGGAGGTCATCCCTATTACACCTTAGTATACAGTTGGCTGGGAGAAGTCAAAAGTCTTAGGAGTCTGACAGACCCTGCTTTTTGCTTACCAAGTTGACCACTGTGTGACCCCAGTCAAATTATTCAGTCTATCTGAGTACTTTATCTGTAAAGTAGAAAAAGCAGCTACCCTTTTAAGTGTTTCTGAGAATTAACAAAAATTTGGAGCTAGGTGTGGTCAACACCTCTAATCCCAGTTAATGAGGAGGCTGAGACAGGAAGATTCCAAATTTCAGGCCAGCCTGGGAACCTTAGTGAAACTCCATCTAAAAATAAAAAATAGAAAGGGCAGGCTGCTGGTAAGTTCAGCAGCCTAGAACCTGCCTGGCAAGCATGAGGTTGTGAGTTCAACTTCCAGTATCAACAAACAAACAAACAGGACTTGGATGTGTGTGTCTGTATGATGCACTTGGTACAGTACCTGACACAAAATATTTTACCTGTGGGGTAACCATCTAAATTATACAAACTATGACACTTTTGAAAGAGGGGATATATTAATAATTGTATCAGGACTATACACTTAAATGGAAACACTGTTAGACAAATTGGAAGGCATCATCACTTCTACCTAATGGCTTCTTGATCCCATCTCTCCAGATTTTTCCCTTCTGGTCTGAAAAGGAAATAGCACATGCTACCATGCAATGAATCAACAGGCCTGATAAGCAAAGATTAATTTTAATAAGCAAAAGCCCACATGTGCAGTTGGCCCTTTTTATTGAAAGAGTTTCAATATTTTTGGGAGACAAGAGCTCTATGTATTCCAGGCTAGCCTTCAAATCCTTACTCCTTAAACCCAGGCTGGCCTTAAATTCACAATCCTCTTCCCTTCCCTTCTTGAGAGTGCTTACATCATCACTCCTGTTTTAGAAAATGTATTTTTATAATCTTTTGTGCCAAGAACCAACTAGGCACTCAGAAGATACTAAAAGCCAGTACCCAACACAGACTAAAGTAGTAACTTTCCTTTCAATTTCAAATGCTTTATCCAACCAGTTTCTTTTATCAGTATTTACACAAAGCTTCTGATTTGTTTCTGAAATCAATTTGAATTTTTAAAATTGTTCCTCTCTGAAAATGTTATCTTCTCTATTATGTTTAACCTCGCAAGTTCTTCAACAACTTGAGGAAATCAGAAAACTAAAAGCTCAAAGCCTGTTACTGACTTACTATGGTTTGAATGTGTTCATGTGTTAAGAAACTTAATCCTTCTTTATACACTGATAGTGCGTGGAGGTAGGGCCCTCTGGTTACTGGCTTGATAAAGAGATGAGCCGGCATGCCTCTAGGTCTCCTGGTTCATCCACCACACTACAAGCAGAAAAGCCCAAACAGATGTCAACACCATCTTTTGGGACTAATCCATCTCCAGTACTATGAGCCAAGTAAAGTTTGTCTGTTCTTTATAAATTACTCAGTCTCAAGAGACATTTTGTCACATAAATAATAGGTGAACAAAAATTGGCCTACAATAGAGAATCCCCTCACAGATCCAAAATGCAGATGGACACCGGCTTTAGGCCTAACTTTCACAGTCTCAATTATAATCATTTTCATCTTCAGCGTGACAACCTATCTTCTCATGGATACTCAGTTACCAAAACTCAGCACAAAATTGCTCAGGCTAAGCCAGGCTTATGGGAGACTGAGCCAGGAGGAACACAAGTTTGAACCTAGCCTGGGCAATTTAGCACAATCTTATACTAAGAAACTAAAAAAAACCAGAACAGACAGTGTGATGATGCTGCTGAGGGAGAAAGGCCCTGCATTTAATAGTGCTGAGATCTGGGTGTGGTAGTCCACACCTGTAATCCCAGCCCTCGAGAGACAGAAGCAGGATGATCTCTGTGAATGCGAGGCCAGTCTGGGCTACAAAGTGAGTTCAAAAATCAGCCTGAACTAGCGAGACCTCATCTCAAAAAATCAAATGAACAAACAAACCAAAACAAAAAACATCAAAAACATTTTGAAAAGGAATTAGAGAGGAAGAAAAATAAGTTAAAGGACAGAATGACCACTAAACTCATAATTATAATAAAAATTCTACAGGTTGAAGATGGGCAATGTTGGTTAAGAAATAAACTATGAACAGCTAATGTGTGTGTCAAGGTAGCAGGCTAACGGATTTCCCTTTTTTATTTATTAGAAAACATTGTAAGAACACAAAACAAAATTTGTCCTATCTTGCCTGCTTCTTTCTAACCTTTTGTGTGTGGCCTTTTGAGTGTGGTACCACATAGGACCTTTGCACTGAGCACTCAGCCCTTTTTAAGTTTTTTCATTTTGAGGCAGGGTCTTGCAATTTACTAAGTTTCTCAGGCTGATTTTTTTTTTTTTTTTTTGAGACAGGATTCACTATGCAATTCAGATTGGCCTTGAGCTCAGTAAGTAGCTCCAGCTGGCCTTAAACTTGTGATGATACTCCTGCTTCTGCTTCCTAGGGTGCTGGTATTACTTGTGCTCACTACCATGTCCAGTTTTTTCCTAGACTTTCAACAAACATTATTATAGTTTGTATAGCAACTACACTTGAACTCTTTTATAACATTTCTACTTCATCCTCAAATTCCAGTATCTAGGAATAACAAAAACATGACACTATCATTTGCCCACATTAATTTCTTTCAAATATAATTGACTTCAGTCAGCAAAAAACTACTGAAATCAGGATTTATGATTTTAAATCCCTAGCAAGCACACAAAGTAGCATTTCTTTCTTTTTGTCTTTTTCTTTTTTATCGGTACTGGGGCTCAAACTCACAACTGCCTGCTTGCAAGGCAGGTGCTTATGCCGCTGAGCTAAATCCCCAGCCCCAAAGTAGCATTTCTAATAATGTATTTCTAAAAAGACTTTGGATACTACTTTTTCCCACCCACTAAGAAAACCAAAATGCCTTTGCCCCATCTCCAATACCGGAGCTCAAATCCAGGGCCTTCAAACTTAGTTACATTCCCAGTGCTTTTTGAATTTTTGAGACATAGTCTCATTAAATTGCCCAGACTGCACTGAAAATTGTGCTTCTCCTGCCGCAGCTTCCCAGAGTGGTGAGATTACAGGTTAGCACTACCATGCCTGGCCCGAAATGCTGATTCTAAAATATCAATCTGGCCACTTTAAGAGAAAAAATAAGTACAAAAAATGTCCAATATCTATCATGGTCATGTCAGTGACTATTTGTACTATGGTTCTTACCTATCCACATTAGGGCAGCTGGAAGTTTCTCTAGCGCAGCACATCTCCAATTTTAATTTTTTGAGACAGAATCTTACTACGTATTTCAGGGTGCCTTAAACTATGTAGCCCAGGTTGGCCTCTAATTAGTGCTGACCCTACCTCAGCCTCCCAACTGCTGGGATTACAGGCACATACCATCACACCCAGGCTCCAATTTTAATATACATAAATATTATTGTTTTACATCTATTAAAGGTAGGAAAGAAATAGGCTCTGTAGAGTGAGTTTTGGCCAACAAAAAAGTAGAAAAATAAGTATACTCTACAAAGTATGAACCACTCTACAAGAGAACACAATGGCCCACACAAATCTTTTTAAGACTGATTTTAGGGACCTGGATTGGTCCTCTGAACTTGCATTTCTATTCTTATGGTACTGAAGATTGAACCCATAGCCACCCTACATCCCCAGTCTTTTTGAAACAGTATCTCACTAAATTGCCAAGTTGCCTGGGCTGAACGTGAACTTGCAGTCCTCTTATTTTAGCCGCCTCCAAGTGTTGGGATTACATATGAACTTGAATTTCTACCACACTGGAGGTGGCATGAGTGATACTGATGTGTAATTACACTTTGAACAGCTACAAGAGTCTCTCTTTCAAATTAGTCATCCCATCCTGACTCAGTATCACTTTCTTGGTTGTGCTAACTCTTCAACGAGCACCTTCAGTAGTTTCCTGATCTGTTGCCTTTCAAATTAAAGTCAATCTTAGCTCTGGCTTACTTTTTAGCCTTTTCTCACACTATTCAGCAAACATAAAAGGCTAAATATAAATTAATCCCAATTTCCTAGGAGTTCACACTGCTAATCTCTGTGTTAATAAGTGTAACAGTTCTGAAGACAGAATATGTGATGGCTTAGTGTATTCAAGGAGCAGTTTCTCGTAACTTTACCTAGATATGAAACTATATGATTACAGATGAAATTATGAAAGCATTAAGTTTCATTTGTGCTTGGCATTATAGAAACATGATTATTGGATTAATCTTTTTTTTTGTCTTTTTCTTTTTTATCGGTACCAGGGATCGAACTCACCGACTGCCTGCTTACAAGGCAGGCGCTTATGCTGCTGAGCTAAATCCCCAGCCCCTATTGGATTAATCTTGATTGTTTCTAATAATATTCAAATAAATTCTGCATATTTCAAACTGACTTCTATAATAGTTCTTAAAAGAAACATTAACATGTTTACATTTTAAATACCAGTTCAGTTCCATGACTGGTGGCAGAGGGAGGAGAGGATGCTTGTTCAGTGCAAGGTCAACAGTGCCACAGAAAGCTATGTGGGACTCATGTGTACTTGATGTCACTAAGCACATAGGCAATCAGTGAAGGTCCCCATTCACACTTCTGTAGAAAGTGAATATAAACTGGGAAAGTCAACATTCTGCAAGTCATTAATCCTCGCATATCTTTATTCTCCAGATCACCCAGACCCTTTCCACAGAATTAAAACACTACCTTCCAGTTCACTCTAAGGCTTTAATCAAAGAAGGTGGTATTCAGTTACTGCTCAGAGTTAATTCATACACAGTATTTGGAGCGCAGCAGATGACAGTAATTGCTGGTAGCCAATTACCAACTCTACTGATTGTAAATATGAGCACAGCCTAAATCCATAATCTTGAGTGAACGGCTATCTGATGTCTGATAACAGGGTACACTGTATTTTACACATCATTCTTCCTTTGATACATGGTCTTAAATCCTTGGATACCGAGTTAAGTGTTTGCATGAAACTGTATCAGTCCATTGTCAAAGCAGACATGCTCACACTACAGGAATGCCGACAACATGGATAATGAAAGAAATCTAAGAATATAAAATATTTTCTCTCTTAAAATGAGTCAAGAAGCCAAAACCTGCATATAAGTTTCTAGAAACAAAGAATGAAGAAAATAAGACTAAGATCAAGAAGTAAAATAAATTTGTCAACAAGATAAAAAAAGGCTATGCTATGTTCACTGAAGTTAATGGTGAGAAGGTCAGAAGAAGGCAGTGTTCTTGGGGGTATTAATTTAAAATTATAAAATACTCAAAGAACACACATGCAAGAATTGTGTGTCACAAACAATGTATACTATGGAGCACTACAGAAGCAGAAAACTAGCAGTTGTGACTTATACTGGAGTTGTTATGGTAAGAATAAGATAGCTTACTAAGAGCCCTTTGGCACAAAGAGAAGAAAGCAAGGAGCATGTAGCTAAGATGAAGATAATGGAGATAAGCTGGTGTATGAGATTAAGGTCAAAGATGCTGTCCAAAAACTGAAGACACTGAAACAGAGGTCTAACAGCATCATGAGCAAAGAAAGTAATTTGTAAGCACAGCTAAAACAACTAGAAAATATCAGTTTGAAAATAAGAAAGCAAACTAGGAAACTCAGCCATGTATTTTTAGGACAATTGGCTCCGAGAACCCTGGAAAAGAACAAGAAAGGTAGGTCTCCTTCATAAACTGTTAACAAACACTTAAGTAACTGCCAGTATGGCACTTTGGACATCACTGTTTGCTGGATCTCTGTGACCAACATACACCAGTTTTATATACAATGATAGATTTAACAACATGACAAAAATTATTTTGTTCCCTGATGCCTTAAATTGTTCAGGGTATTGTGTACTTAAAAAGTAATAGCTCTAAGTACTTTTCTGTATCCTCTTCCTTTTTTAAAAGACAAGTATCTTCAATTTAATGCAAGAGAACATTTTACTTTTATATAATCATGTTCTGGTGATTCTGTTTATAGGCTTTTCCAAAATAAAACCCTGAAAAATATTTAGGATAACCTATGTTTCACTATTAATACAAAAGTACCATTTAATGCAGCATATTCATTAATGTAACACAGTTGGCCCTGTTTTGACACTTTTGTTTAAAGATACACATTTTAAAAACTGCTTATGTTGTATCTGGACAATTTTTTAATAACAATCTTTTCTGATACGTCCATTTTGAATTAAGTACATATTATTCTCTTTTAGTGTCCTCTTTAGTCATAATCGTACTACTTTGTATTTGTAATCACGTTTAATTTAGCTATTTTCTATATACTGGTCCTAATAAGATAACAGTACCTTTCATATGATAGAAATCAGTAAGGAAATCTTAATTTTCTTTTTATATTTTATGGTAAGCAGCAGGAAGAAAATGCACTTATAGTTAACTGCCAAAACTGAAGTGCTAATGATCAATCTGTTTCTACCTACACACAATCTGTTCTACTAAAATGGAAATAATAGACTTTTTTGTATGTAGTACTGGGATTGAACACAAGACCTCTGCACTGAGCTACTGCCCTAGCCTTTTGAGACAGGGTCTCACTAAATTGCCCAGGTTGGTCTGAATTTGTAATCCTGCCTCAGCTCCTAAACTACAGGATTATAGGTATACACTACCATTCTCCCACCCTCTTGAAAATAAAAATGTGTCACCATTCTCCATTTAGCAGTACTCATGCTGCATTCCTGTTATTTTTCTGTTGGTACTGTAAAAGAAAAATCACATAACAGTGTTGAAATATAACCAAAGGTCATATACCATATTCACATAAGGAAGACTCAATATTGCTAAAAACCTATTTTCCCATCAAATGAATATACACAGTGTAATTCCAATAATAATACCTACCTTTGAGTAATTCAATGCCAAAAGAGTTTTAAAAAAATAGTGGTGGAACAATCAGATATCCATATCAGGGGAAATGAACCTTTGTCTCCTACCATATAAAAATGAATTATTAAACCTTAATGACTCACAAGTAAAAACAAAGGAATGTAAATATAATGATTCTCTAAGGAAATATCTTTATAATCTACAGTTGAAAGGAGATGGAGAAAAGCAAAGATTTCTTATGTAGGACACAAAATGAAAAACTTTGATAAACTGGGTGTTTTCAAAATAAACTTCTGCTAATCCAGTCATATTAAAAGTAACTAGGGGGGCTGGGGATTTAGCTCAGTGGCATAAGCGCCTGCCTTGCAAGCAGGCAGTCCTGAGTTCAATACCCGGTACCAATAAAAACGAAAAAGACAAAAAAAAAAAAAAAAAAAAAAAGTAACTAGGAAAGTCACAAAATGCGAGAGAATACTTACAACCATACCTGACAAATGGTTAGTAGATAAATTAGAACAGTAACCACTCAAGTTTTTTAAATTCTAATTTTTTACAATTGAGCTTAATGGTACATTTTAGATATACATAATGATCACATTCATCCTAGGAAGTTTGTACCCGTACATGATAAATCTTGATTTTTTTCCCCATTCCCTTACCCTCCCTTAAACCCTCTCTTCCTATTTACAAAAGCTTTGTTTACATTTTCTTTTCTCATTCCTTTTCTTCTTTCTTCCTTTCCCCCTTCACTCTCCCTAGTTCCCCTTCCCATTTGAATATTTTCTTTTTATTTCACAATATCTTTTATACATTTTGGTTCTTAAATCCTAATTTTACAAGGGTACAAAATCTGAAAAGCACCTCAATGACTAGAAAGAACCTGAAAGAGGGCTCTGTAATCTGAAGTTTAAACAATGAGATAATAAGATACAACTACCAGATGGCTAAAATAAAAATGAATGGCTTTACAGTTTTCTAATATTTGGTGTTAATCAAAACCTCCCACATTACATTATAACCACTCAAGAAAAAGGTCTGTTGACTTCTTACACAATTAAACACATAGCATCCTCTGACCTAGCAATTCTATTCCTAGGAATTCAAGCAGGAGAAACAAAAGGATCCATCAAAAGATCTATACAAGAATAGTATAGTAGCTAGGTATGATGATGCATATCTGTAATTCCAGAACTCTGAGAGGAAGAGGCAGGAGGATTAGAAGTTCAGCTCCAGCCTGGGGAACTCAGTGACTTAGCAAGATCCTTTCTCCCCCACCCTCAAATGCAATAGTACCTCTATTATAATCACTAAAACTTCTGTATAATCCTAATGAACATCAACAAAACAAAATGTGCCATGTGTATTACTCAGCAATAAAGGAATAAACTGATATAGGCAACATGGATAAATTTCGGTTATAATGAAAGAAGCCTTATATACATGCATATATTCTTGATTCTATGTATTTGAATTTCTAGAATAGACAAAACTAATACAAGGTCTGCCAAAATTTTTTTACTCATTTCATGGAAATAAAAAGCTGTATAAATATTTTAATACTAAATTTATTGAGATATTATGAGATTAACACAAGTTACCTTTGGCCCCTACAATTACAAGAGGTTCCCTAGTAGTGATCATTAGCTTCCCAATGCTTATTAGTACAGTGAATTGCTACTTTGGTAACCTTAATCAAAGCATCCATTGATATTGCTGCCTGAAGTTTTCACACAATATATTTAATGCAAATGATGATAAAAATCATTTAAAAGTATTTGAACAAGATTTTTATATTTTTGAACAATATTTGAATCTTCCCTGATCTTTTAGATTATACTGAGTTAAATAAGGTGTTTCCAAGTGCAAAAAAGACATAGTAGTCATCTGGAATCTTGATAAAGTATTTTGGTATGCTTCCAAGAGATGGTAATTCCATGGCTGGTATGACTAAGTTATTAATCTTTTCACAAACTAGATGGTTTCCAGTTCCTTTTCAACAAATATGAAGGAGAGTGAATAGAACTGTCAGCAAGTACATGACTCAAAATAATAATAGATGACTGCTTTTCAGCATGAACTCAAGGAGTTCAAAAACTGAGACATTTATTTTCCATCTACTTATTTTATATGATCAAGTTGACTCAAAACAAAAGCTATAAAAACAAAGAATAGAAATACAGTTGGTGTTGAAAAATCTGAGTCATTCCAGCAATAAGCGAGTCATCCAAAATTATGAGTTTTATAAAAGCATCACTTATCTCATTAAGAAGCATTTCCAATAAATATTCAATAAACAACTTTGTAAATCCAAATTTGTAACATTTAGGTTGTCTTAATAAACTGTCCTGTCAATCAACTGTCACAACAATCCAGAACACTCTGATAGCCTTTTAGTTACAGGAAATAACTTAAAATTTCAATTTTATGAGTTTTATTTGTTCCAGTTAAGTGTGGTATGTGATCATCAAAAGACTTAAGTATAAAATATTATAGTAAGGTAAATCTCTTGGGAGAAGTGATCCAAAAATACAAT